CACCTTTGATGACGAACCACACATGATACATCTTCCTTTTCAATTGTGACTTTGACAATGAACCATATTTACTCTGTCTTCTTTTGCAGTTGTGACTTTAATGATGAATCACACATGATGCATCTTCTTTTTTAGCTATGAATTTAATGACAAACCACACTTGTTGCATCTTCTTTTGAAATTTTGGGTTTAGCAAAAAACGACATTAGTACATCTTCTTTTACAGTCACAACTTTGATAACAAACCACACATGGTGCATCTTATTTTAGAGTTGCAGCTTTGATGACAAACTACACATGAAACATCTTTTTTTTTTCCGTTGTGGCTTTGACGATGAACCACACTTGATGCATCTTCTAAATTGAAGTTTGGCGATGAATCACACTTTGACCTTTTCCTTTGTAGTTTTGGCTTTGGCGAGAAAGAGATTTTGCCGCAGTTTGTCCTAGTTCTTGAGAGGAACTACTTGTCACATTATTAATCCTTAAATCAAACTTCAAAATATCCCCCCATGTCAAAGATAGAAGCTCACTTATGGCTGCATCTATCAATAAAAATATTTGAAGCAATAATGTTTGATGAAGAGGTGATGTGAACTTGATAAAGACATCCAAGACGATTTGACAAACCACTTCTTGATATTTTTTTTCTACTTAGACCTTTTGTATGGGATGATATGTCCATTTTTTCATCCCTTCCTTATGATGTGTAAAATCTCTTGCACTTTTGAAGCAATAAAATATACTTACTTTACACTTCCATGCAAAACATGTGAGTTATTTTTCTAATTTTTCTAGGCGGCCACTTATTTCAAGGTTTTCAACATATTGAATTTTTTGGACCATATAGATTTAAACTCATGAGGGCCAAAAGTAACAATTTGAAGATTTAACTCATTTTAATGGAGCTTTTCTAACTTGAAGACTTGGCTCGCAATTGAGAAGCATCATGATTTGAAAACTTAGCTCAAATTTGAAGAGCTTCGAAAATTGAGACTTAGCATGAATTTGATGAGCTTCATGACATGCATTTTAGATTCGTGTGTCGAGAAGCATTTTGACTTAAAGATTTTGCTCGAATTTGATGATCTTTGAAACTTGAAGATTCAATGCAATTTGATGAACTTTATTACATGAATTGTAGTCTCGTGCGTCGATGAGCATTTTGATTTGAAGATTTTGCTTGAATTTGATGAGATTCGAAACTTGAAGATTCAACAGAATTCGACGAACTTTATGACATGCATTTTAGGCTCATGTGTCGAGGAGCATTTTGACTTGAATATTTTGCTCGAATTTTCTGAGCTTTGAAACTTAAAAATTCAACAGAATTTGATGAACCGTATGACATGCATTTTAGGTTCGTGCGTCGAGGAGCATTTTGATTTGAAGATTTTACTCGAAATTGATGAGCTTTAAAACTTGAAGATTCAATAGAATTTGATGAACTTTATGACATGCATTTTATGCTCATGCGTCGAAGAGCAATTTTGACTTGAAGATTTTGCTTGAATCTGATGAGCTTTAAGCCTTGAAGATTCTACTCCAATTTGAGAAACTTCTTGACTTGAAAACTTAGCTCGAATTTGATGTGCTTCATGACATATATTTTTGACTTGTGCGTCAATGAGCATTTTGATTTGAAGATTTTGTTCGAATTTAATGAGCTTTGAAACTTGAAGATTTTACACAAATTTGAGAAGCCTCATGACTTGAAGACTTAGCTTGAACTCAACGAGCTTCACGACATGAAGATTTAGCTCAAATTTGATGAGCTTTATGCCATGAAGACTTAGCTCAAATTTGATGAGTTAGGAGTATTTTGATTTGAAGACTTAACTCGAATTTGAGGAGCATTAGGAGCTTGAAAATTTAGTTTGAATTTGATGAGTTTCATGACATGAATTTTAGGCTCGTGCGTCGATGGGCATTATGACTTACAGTTTAGGCTCGTACATCAAGGAGCATGTCAACTTAAATAGACTCTTCAATTTCAATTTCAGATGAAAACTTTCCTTTATCCTCAATGTTAATTATATTTTCTTTGTAAGTTTCGAAGTTGGACAACTTTTGATAACCATTTGAAGTCATACTCAGTTTCATATCATGAGCACGTGTTGCTAGTTCTTCAAATATTTATCCCTTGCAATATGTAACGAAGATCCCAATGCATACCTTTGATGCATATTTTGATCTAAGAAGTTTCACTAAGGCGATCTTTGCAGTTAAGGCTCAAGCTCCTCCAGCAATTTATGAAGTCAATGACTTGTTCATCATTTTTTTGACGGGTGTTTGCAATCTCTATCATGCTCACAATACGCCTTGTGCTATAAAAACACTTAAGGAATTGTTGATCCATCTGCTCCCAACTATCGATAGAACTAGACTCAAGATCTATGTACCATTCAAAAGCAATTCCTGTGAGAGATCTAACAAACTGCTTAACAAGATAATCACCATACGTTCCAGCATTATTGCAAGTTTCGACAAAGTGTGACACATGTTGTTTCGGAATTCCATTGACGTCAAATTTCTGCAACTTAGGAGGTTGATAACCAACATGTATTTTTAGGTTATAAATTCTTTGAGAATATGGCTTTACATATGTGATAGGAGACTTGGACGTGCAATCAGATTTATCTTTGATAGCTTCTTTGATGAAGTCCTTCAATTCAGGAATCAGACCTTCGGCAGATACTTGAAACTCCTTGATGATTGTTTCTTATTTTGCGAAGGACTCTATTTTCTTCTGAGTTTCATAAAGCTTTACGCATAATTGAGTGGATCCTCTTTCCTCCATATTCTCCATCATGTTTGTCAACTTGGTAATTTGGATGTCTTGGCCTTTGATGCACTTTGATAGGCCTTCAACTGCTTTCGTCAAATTTGTAAGTTGTTCTTCTATGGTGGAAGTTTTGATCACCATCGCTTGCATAGCCATTGTAGATGATAAAGAATAACGTTGATTTTCCATGACATGAGATGCAGATTGGTTATGCAGAGTAGATGTAGTTCTTAAGGAATCATTATCGGCTAAAGTGAATGACTTTTTAAATGTGGATTGGCTTAATTGCGCAAGAACCCTCTCAACCATTTTGGCGATATCTTCTTTTGCAGCTTTTGCAGGAGACTTTACACCTTTTGGAGACGAACCAAAGACAATAGAAAATTTGGGCGGCACTCGGGAGGCTTGTTGTCCTAGAAATTTGGCTTGGTTCCTTGTGATAGGTCTCATGCTTCCCGCAGTAACATCAAGGATAATTTCCACAATGATACATAATTCGGATCCATCAGTTTTTACGAATGCAAATGCAGATGTAGATGCGAATGCATTTACGGATACAAATCCAAATTTCGATGCATATGCAAATGCAAATTTTGAGTCTTTTTGAAATTCATCTCAGTGTTTTTGAAATTTGATTTTCTTGAAGAGAAGAGATGAGAGGTAAAGATTGTCCCACTAAGCGTGCCAATTTGTAAGCCTCTAAAATTTCAATCCTGAAATACAGTAAACAGGAAAGGAAAATAGCAAGCAAACAATAATATTTGTATTTAAATTAATGTGAAGGTTACAATCTTTATAAAATCTCTTAAAAAAGATATGTAATCCCCTGATTCTTCTCTTCACAGATGTTCTTGATTTGATGGAAAACTTGCAGCTCAACAGTTGGAGTGTATACTTCTTTGTATGCGGAAGACTTGCAGATCACCACTGAAGAGCAAGGATTCTATATGTACTTCTATGTGTGTGTTCTTCTTTTTCTTCTTCCTTCTTTTTCTTTTGGTCTTATGAAGACTTCTTTATATAGACTTGAGCTAGGATTTTAGGGGTATTTTCTTCCAAGCAATTTCGGTCCTTGGGCTTGAAAAACATGAGTTGGGCTCTTCTTGTCAACTTAATGGATTGGCCCAAATGTGATTTTGACTTTATTTAAGTCTTATATTTTTACTTAAATATTAATCCGAATTTATTAACCAGTAATTTGAGTGGTCAATATATCATGAATTTATGGATTAATCCAAAATTTAATATGGATTTATCAATAAAATTTCACTGTCTATAGCCCCAACATTATTTATTTATTTTAGTCTAATTATTTCAAGTTATGCATATATAAATCAAGAAAATTAATAATTTGGTTTCATCCTTAACTGCTTTATCAACAACCTTAGGTTTCCCTACAGCTAAAGCTATGGGGAATATAGAGTCATGATCGAACAAATTGCATGGCAAACCATAAAGTAAGATCCATGCTAATGCAATACAAGTTTCTTCTTTCGGATTGAACCACAGAGTCCATTTCAGAAAACGCATATTATAGGGTCCACTATTGAACTCCCATATGAATCTCAGGCCTAGAATATAAATTGGTATGATCCTCAAAGAGATGAAATTGATAAAAATGTACTTCGACTCAAGATAACCGAGTTGGCACGGTCATTTTATAATGAATTGTTGTAGTATCACCCTTCTTAAATCCCACCAACTCTGGTCTACCATATAAATTTACCAACAATTGCAGTGTCCATTCAATATGGGTAACTCCATCGCAATATTCGACAGGTTTTAACTTCAATGAAGCATTAGAAGTGTTATTTGTGGTTGTTTTGATTTGAGAGTCTAGGGATTTTTTCTTTTTTTGAATAAAAGAAGTAGTTGAGCTACACCTTTATCACTTGTGCCAAACATTATTTAGCTTTTCTTTTCTTCTAAGGTCTCTTCTTCAAAATCTTCTTCTTCGCACTCAAATTGTATTGTTATCGATCAATTCTTGCTCTAGTACTAATATATATTTATGAGATGGAAGAGTAGAAAGGAAAGAAGAAAACAGAAAAAGTAAATTTTGAACAAGTGTAGTAAATTTTCAGTAACTCTATGATCGTACTACTCTATTCTCAACAACAATTGTGTTTTGTTATTCGTTTCACTTGACCTGCACACTTGCACATACATACATAAATATGATAGAGAGTATTTGATTTTCAAGGCACAAAAGGCTTCTTCAAATATTAGAATAGTCCACATAATTAAAGATGTTTCGTAAATTCCATAACTATATTTAAGTATAATAAATGACAGCACATAACATTTCACAGTTCAATAGAAATATATTTCTAGATATATGAACATAACTTTTCTTACTTGGGTCAAAATGTAAAAAAGATAGGATGGGCAGTTGATCAGATCCAATATGGATTGTACATGAATGGCTCTTTTGAAGCGCATTGACACTGAGTGCTCATTTCTAATATCTAGTGTCGTTTTTTCTTTCACTGGCAACTAGAATGGGAGGGAAGTGATCAAGAAATATCTTCTGAGGGTTGAAGAAGAATAGGAAGTCCTTCAATTGGTGTGGGCATGGGATCATATTCGATTTTCTCATTTGGAATCAATAACTTCCATCTGAAATCCTTGACAACATTGTGGATAAAAACAAGAATCTCCAGTCGTGCAAACTCTTTCCCCAAGCACATTCTAGGCCCTCCTCCGAATGGAATATATGAAAATGGTGTTGGTCCTGCTCCTTCAAATCTTGATGTATCAAAGTTTTTAGCATCGGGAAACACTTTAGGATCCATGTGTGTTGCAGGGACATTCCAATATATCTGTCGCATCAAACCAAGCCTTCATTAGATGATTGTGTTTTACAACCAACAATTGCAAAGGAACAATGGAGGGGCAGAGGGACTGAATATAAAGCAGAATCGATAAAAATTGAGAGACCATAACTGCAGAAGTTGAATGCAAATGTAATAATTAATAGTTCTAATCTGGTTCTCATTTTTGTGATATGGCTAGTTGTTATTTTTTTTGCATTTCTGTAAAGACTTTTTTTGTGTTTTATTAATAAAATTAATCCCTAGGAAGCTTGTTCAATGATATATTATCCAATAAAAAAAAACTTCAAAGAGTACACATAACAACCACCAAAAATATATCAAGTAAAACAAATATTGGAGTACCTTCCATCCTTTTGGAATGCTATAACCTTGGTAGTTAAAATCCTCTAGTACTTCTTTCCAGCTTCCAATAATTGGTGATGTTAACCTGAGAACTTCAGACACTACATCCCATGTATACGTCATCTTTTGTATGTCATCCCAATTCAAGTATTCCCTTCCTCCTTTTGATAATGCAACCTCCTTTTGTTCTGTTATCAGTATCAACCAAAAAATATTACCAACTTTTTTATTGTTAGTGAAGCCCTGGCATTTCATATGTTTCATTTTATATGACGGTATTTGACTGACCTTGTAAAACGTTTTCATAAACATGAGGCAGCTCCGCGAGATACTTCATCACTAATGTTATAGTAACAGTGGTGGTATCATGGCCGGCAAAGATCATCATGAGGATGTTATCAGCTACCTCTAGTTCGGACATGAATTTACCATTCTCATCCGGAAATAGAAGTAAATGTGACAAAAGATCTTGTGGAGGAGAATCTGATAATTTCTGTTCTACGGCCTCTCTTCTCTCCTTCACAATTAATACAAGTTCTTCACGGATAGTCTTTGTTGCTCTCTTTGCATAGTAAAATTTAGTTCCAGGAATGTTTAGGGCTATAGATATGACTCCTTTCAAGAAAATGTTGAATAGATTGAAGAGCTTTGAAATTCGATTTGAGTCTTCAAGGTTCATGAATAGGCGACATGCCAAATCAAATGTGTGTAACTTGACAGTTGGAAAAACTTTCACCTCCTTTTTGCCTTCATATGTACACACAGCAAAGTTCAAAAATTCACATATACTAATATTTACTAGTAAAGAGTTCAACATTAGGCCACTTCATAAATTTTATGCTTGAAATATCTCTACAAATCAAAGAAAATTAAAATATAGGATGTGCAAAACTAAGTGAAAAATTGATAAATTAACTTTATAACATGAAGACATGAAGTTACAATATTTAGTCAACGTACACCTCAAAGCTCCTTTGTAAATAAAAAGTTTCAAATAATAATTTCCTATAATTCGCCACTTAGCTTCTTAACAACTTGTTTGGAGGGTTGTTATATATTGTTTCATAATATATCATATGACTTAAATATATTGTTTTGATAAATATAGGGTGTATTTGGTATGAAGGTAAAATGTTTTCTATTTTTTTTCTTATGCTTGGTTGACTTAAATATTTTGTAAAATGTTTTTCAAATCAACTTATTTTTCTTCAATTTAAGAAAAATAACTTCCCTTTAAAAATTAAGAAAAACATTTTTCAAAGCTTTACTTCATCCTTAAATTACAATATATTTTTTCTTATATTCTGTACCTGACCCTCCCCATTCAAAAAAAAATTAAATTAAAACTTTTAAATTTTCTATTTCTTTTACCCCTACCCCAAATCAGCCCCCCAACTTCCCTCGACCCTCCCCCCCCCCCCCCCCCAAAATAAAATAAAATAAAATAAAAAACCAAAAAAAAAAAATAATGTCAAAACCATTTTTGAAAAAACTTTTACCTCTTAACCCCTACCCTCTCCCCCCACCCCGAAAAAACACTATTTTGGAAAAATATTTCGAATTTTAAAATTTTTCATTTTTACGCTATCCCCCCCCCCCCCCCCCCTCCTCCGGTCATCTCCCATCAAAAAAAATAAAATTATGGTGTATAATTTTTATTACAAAAACTTAATTTTTGTATATATATTATTCTTTTTTTATAAAATATAAGTTAATTTTGGTGTATAAAAATTTGTTACATGATATATTAACTTCATATATTATTTTGCACAACATGATGGTTGAGGATGGGCGTGAACTTATTGCACCAATTCAAAATTTATGGGATGATCCAACTTCAATGGTAGAAATACCTAGATGAAAATTATCGATTTGAAGTTGGTCTTCACTAAAATGATGTTGACACAATTTTAATGTAAAATTTGATGTTATGAATTGAAGATAACTTTACATAATAGCACGGTTTAAAAAATAATTAAAATCATCTATTGTAATAAAAGCTTTTAGAAACATTTCGAATGATTAATGAAGAAAAAATATTTTAAATGAATAAAATAAATTTGATAGGTCACTAAAAACATTTAGTGTGCAACTTTAATTTGACTTTGACTTTAGACTTTGTCAAAACTAAGATTCGGGAAAGATTTACGGGGCTGGCTGACAGGCTCTACGAGTAGACCGCGGAACGAACGACAATTTATAACGGTGTCACTTTGTGACAGAAAACTACTATTCTCCTCATGTGATGTCGGCAGATATTTAAGAAAAATAAAATTTCAAACTTTGTAATTAAAGGGGAAATGGTTTAAAAATACTTTAATTTTGGTCGAAATTGTTATTACGATATCAAACTTTATGAATGATCTTTTATTCCCCTATACTATTTAGTATTGTATTTTAAAGATATATATGTGTCACATGGAACATTACTATTTATAATGATGCAATATTTATGATATCCACGTGGACACATATATATCTTTAAAATATACTATTAAATAGTTCAGGGGTAAAACGTCCTCTATAAGTTTGGTATCGGAACAATAATTTCGACCAAAATTAAAGTATTTTTCAAATCTTTTTTTTCTAATTAAAATAATTTGTAAATATTTATGTGGCCATAGATTATTTTTGAGAATAGAATAGAAATTTTAAAATTAAGTTGTTTTCATACAATAAAATAAAATTGAATAAAATAGAAATTTTAAAATTGATAAAAAGGTTTTTCATTTGAATGAAATTGGAATATAATCAAATTTCATTACGGATATTAAACACGGAAAAAATAAAACTTAATTTTCCATTGGAAAATACATACCTTGCCAGTAATTCTTAAGATGGTGGTGAGTAGTGAACTCCATGGTCTTAATATAGAGCTTTGAGAAAGCATCTGGACTAACAAAATAATACAACATCTTCCTCAAATGTTTAGCTTCATCCCCATGACTATTAGTCAAACTCTTCCCAAGCAGCTGTTTCACAGAAGTTGGCCACCAAGTTGTGACCAATTTATTATGGTTTCCAAACAAAAACTTGTTTGCTGCAGGACCACACAATACCACCATTTTTGCACCCATTATTGATGTCTTGAAAACTTCAGATTCATACTTATCCATTCTGTCCTGAACAAATTTCTCCGACTTTCCCTCCCGGTTTAATCGGAGAAACTCCAAAGTTTCTCCGATTAATGGCCATCCGTAGCGGCCGGGAGGAAGATTTGATGATGACTTTCTTCTTTTTTTGAGGAGATGATTGAAAAAGAATACGAAAGATACAAAAAGGATTAGGTACACTGTTAATGTCATCGCTTTTTCCCTTTCAATAATTTTAGCATTGACACACCCTTATAAATAGATAGAGATATTTAATTTTTGGCATATAATTAAGTGTAAAAATAGAAATCGTCATAGCGTGTGCTTAGCACAGCGGAAAAAAATAATATGCTCGTCTTATCAGTGGTCGACTCACGATTTTTCATGAAAGGCAACACATATATAGAAATAAACACATTAACTAATCGAAAAAATTTCAACATTTTTTATATATATATATATATATATATATTATTTTTCTCATTTTTTTCTGTCAAATAAGAGATTCTTGACCCCAAGCTGGCTCCTCCCTGGCTTTGTAAGTATATGTTAGTCAAAGGCTTGAGAAATATTATTTTTAGTCAAAGGTTTGGGAAATATTATTTACACTTTTGATGTTTGTTATTGTATAAATTCGTTATTTCGAGTTTACACAAAAATAACTGAATTATACAAATGTACTTGTGCATTATACAAACGTGCGAATTATACAAACAAGACAACTTAAACTTTAGCTATAACCTGTAAATATACAAAATATAGCTACAAAACATAATTAAGTTTATTATAGTGGATATTTGCGAAATTTCCCCAAAAATAAGGCATATGACTTAGGCCCCCAATTTTGGGGGGCCTCAATTTTTTACCAAAAATAAATTACATGTTCAATTTTTTTTATAGAAAAAATTAATTATTTATAATTAATAAATAAATAAATAAATATATATATATATATATATATATATATATATATATATATATATATATATATATATATATATATATATATTAAGATATGTATTATATTATTTTTGTTAACTCATTATAATTTATTAATTTATTAACTTATTACTTATAGAATTATGTTAACAATTAATATAATGATTGTCTTAGTAAAAACATGTTTTTCATCGTAAAATTGATAAAAAATCTTACCTTAAATATAATTGGAAGAATTTTTTTCGAAGAAATTATTTATAATAAAAATCAAGTAATAATTTGCATCTTAAAAGTGTAAGAATAATAAATTTTAAATTCACATGAAATTTATTTAGATTTTTAGGCCTCTAACTAAAATTTCGCTTTAGGCCTCTATTTATGTTGAGTCGTCCCTGGCCTTGTCCCCACAACCCACTCTTGTTCCCCACCAATTCCTATGTAACGACTTGTTCCCGTCGTTATATAAAAGCCAATGGGGAAAGAATTTGGGCCAGAAAACTTTTGAGTAGTAACTTGAAAAATTGTAGTCTAGTCTAGATTTGGACAAAATCTGAGTCAGGTGAGGTCTAGGGAAATCTGGTCATGAGTGGGGGAATCTATTTATGAATTTGATCACGTGAGTAGATAGCTAAGACGTTAAAGAACCCGTACAACTTTACGAAATTAAATTCAGGCGGGGGAAACTCTCGAAATTGATCTTAGCGTGAAAGGGTAGTTTTTGAATGTTCTGAGTCGAAGGTGTGTTGTGAAATTGGGGCTTGGAACTCAAATTATGAGGTTCTGTCTCCGTGTAAACCGCTATGGCAAGATTATTCCCGCCAGGGCAGGTTCGCTGTGGTGGGATGGGGTTCGCCGTAGCGGCTTAGTCGCGAATTAAGTCGGGGGAAAATCCCAATTTCGTTATTTTTCTGCAAACTTTGTTCTTAAGAGTTAGGAAACGACCCAAGACAAGTTCTTGATAGTTTTCCATGACTTTTGGTGCTAAAGGTAAGGATTTTACTCCCCTAATCCATTTTTTGATCCGTAGAACTTAGATTCTTAGTTAATTATTATTGTGGGAGGGTTTTGGATGGTGGAAAAAGCCCTAGTTGCAGATTAGGATCATGGGTTTGGTCTTGGGTTATTGAGTTGTTATAATCCGGGTAATTAGACCTTAAATTATTGATCCTTGCGCTATATTAATTGTTTTTAGACCACGAACAAGCGGAAAAAATCCAGAAAGGGAAGATTTAAGTGCCTTGTGGGGATTCAAACTTGGTTTCAAGGTAGGTGATGGTTTGATTTCATGTTTGTGTGATGTGTGTTAGTAATTGCTTCATTGTAATGCATGTATGTATGCGAATGAAACACTATTGGTCAAACCAAATGAATTGTGTATAAATGAACAAATGTCTGCCATGATTCAACACTTGATTGTATGATTCCGAGCATGTACATTATGAGTGTGAATGTGATTGTGGTTATGTTGAATGAAATGGGTGTCACGTTTCGACACACTAACTAGGATCGAGTGTCACGTTCTGACACATATATTGGAGCAGGTGTCACGTTCCGACACACTAATTGAGATTAGGTGTCACATTCTGACACACCAACAGTTTGGGTATGGGTTCCATGAGAGGACCATTGAATTGTCATATGTGCTTGTTATTGAGAATGTGGAATTGTACATTTCTCCTGAAATGATAACCAATGTGTAAATATATTTTGTTCATGTCATGATTACTATGCTGTGACTTCTTATATATGTTTAGCTTACTGGAATAACATCGTGATCCTATCAGTATACTGTGGTTGTATACTGATACTGCACTTGCTCGTTCTTTGTTGAGTACAGGGCATTTTCGAGCGGCTATTGATAGACCTCAGCTAGGAGATTAGTGATCGAGATCGGATTTTAAGAATGAACCAGTTCTTTTAGGCTGCCATGGAGTCCTTCCTATTGTTTAGTCCATTTCTTTCGGACATAGACTATTTAGATATTTCTTATGTTTTTTAGGGTTGTACCTATTTTTCTTAGACTTGTTGCACATTAGATGTTCTGGTATAATGACTTTCAGGTTATAGGAGTTAAACTTCCGCATTAGTTAGGTTAGTTAATTATTTAAACCTTTGGAGTTTATGGGAACTCTATATAATATCTGGATTTAAACCTGCTTTCATATCTTTAAATGTCTATTTTGTTCGTTAACTTGGCTAGAGGGGTTGTAGTAATGATTCTCCCACTAGAGGGTTAGTGCGGGTGCCAATCACGATGGTTTGGGTCGTGACAAAGTTTGTATCAGAGCCCTAGGTTCGTTGCTCTCGTTATACTAAAACGAGTCTAGTAGAGTTTTGCAGAACGGTACGAAGACTTCTGTACTTTTCTTCGAGAGGCTACATGACTTTAGTAAATCTCTTTTTTTCTACTATTTTCGTGCTATGAATTGATTCCAATTGATAAACGGTGATCCAAATTAGTATCTAATCTTCTTCCTTCTTCTGTTCACAGATGGTTAACACTCGTTTCAACGGCGTCAGGTCTGTAGCTCCCGTCAATGAGCCCGTTGAGGAATCCACATCAAGAGGTTGCGGTCGTGGCAAGAGTAGATGAAGAGCAAGGGGTAGAGACCGAGTGATGTAATTCTCACAAGAAGAATCACAATAAATAGAGGAAAACAAGAAAGATAGAAGAAGAGATATAAGAAGAGGAACAATTGGCAACTAAAGGATGTATTAAATCCTAAAACCTCCAATTACAATCCCTAAACAAGCACCTAATCAAGATAAATAGATAGACACACAAAGAGGAAACAAAAAGCAATCAAAGGGTATATTAAACCCAATGACCTCGATCTGTTAATCCTACAATAGCACCTACCTCTTACGAAGGCCCAATGGAATCAATATCCCAAGCAACTCTCGTTTCTAAACAATGTTCAACAAAAGCTTACCAAGCTTTCAACACTCACACAAGGAGTTAAATTTATCATTCATCAATATTCAAAATAGTCTAAACCTTAAAATGAAGCCCTAAAGGCCTATTTATAGTTTTAGGCATTATTACATAGCAGGGCCCAAAAGTGACCCGAAATGGGCCAATGGACGAGCCAAGTTGGGCTCGCCTAATGGCTCGGCGATGCGCCCAATAGGTTCGGCGAGGAACTCTTCTCCTTGCCTTGGCTGGGAAGCTACTGGAACTTTGGGCGGTCTGGCAACCATCGCCCAATCCACTTGGCGATGCGCCAACGGTCTTCAGCTCCCTAGTGAGAAGATTACCCATTTGTAGCTCCTTGGGCAATTGGCGATCTTGGGAACCCGCCAAAGGGTTTTGGCGAGTCGCCGAAGTGTTCTCCTGCTCGCCGACTGGAGCACATTCTTCACTTGCTCCTCCTCGCTTCGTTAGTCCTCCCACTCTCCAAGCTATCATCCAAGCATGTTATTGCCTAATTGGGAGCTCCTTCAAGGCATTGAACTCCTTCCTTGGCATCCATACATGCCAAACAACCTCCATCCTTGTGAACACTCCATCAAAGCATTGAAGTTCGTGAATGGATAGCCTTGACGTAATCTGTTTTACATCATTCTCCCCTTGTTGAAAAGGATTTGTCCTCGAATCCATTCTTTGCAAAACCATAGGGGAAGCAAACAGGAACAAGATCCTCATGGCATGAGGGTTAGCGTTAGCAAAAACAATTTCATCAACATGCCAAGGATGCACAAACTTAACATATAACCAAGCATCACAAATATCAACCAAGGGTTTGTAACCCATCAAAGCAATAGATACTTGGCTAAGTAAGAAACATTGACAAAAGGGTAGAGTGTAGGAACCAATACACTTAAACAACCTCATATGTAAGCCCTCATTTGTTCCACATTCAAACAAGCACAAGATCTCCCTCATGTCAAGTAGCACATAAACATCCTCAAAACTAAGTGCAAGGGCATAAACAAAGTTAACCCAAATTAAGATTCCATCCAATGCACTAGCTAACTTCATGAATGTAGTTATTCCCAATTCATGTGCGTAGTCAAATACAATAGTATTCCCCACACAACTCGGCAAACAAACCTCATCCAAGCACATAGGATCAAGTAATAAAACCAAGTAAAAATCACATGAAAGAAAAAAGGTGTTATTACCATACGCGTCACAATTTAGACAACACCGAGGTCAAACGGGAAGGAAAAATATAGCATCGAGTCAAGGAGACTCTCATCTGCCCCATTGATTCCACTATTAACATAAAATATGGTACACACACAAACATGAGTATCATTTTATGCAAATAGATAATA